GATAAATCTAAACTCTAGATATTAGCATTTAAAAATCTGAAGCGGGTCTAAAATGGCGGCTCTCTCTGTCAATTCCGACATTTCGCAATAGGGCTTTACGGAGGCAGCCGAGCGTTTGCTTGAACGAAAGTAACATAATGATAATGAAATGTAAAGGAATACTTGGATTGTCACGTAGTAGTTACGTTGCAATTCTGTGTCAAACTAAGTTTTAATCCAAGGTCTTCTCAAACCTCTTCTATAATTGGATTTGGCTTGTTCTCATAGTAGAAAAAGAAAAGACTAAATGTGCAAATGAAATATTCGATACCTAATATCTTCTGATTTGCACCACGGAAAAATAGATCTTACATGTAAATCATAGTTATAAGTAATATAGATTTTTAAGAAAGAATATCAATAAGTGTTATTTAGGATACATGTTATCTGATTCCTTGACCGTCGTGGGGCGAGCCATGTTTTTCGGCGAAACATTTCAACCTTTTCATGAAAGTTAAACTAATCAGGATAGTTCACTTTGGGAATAAACAGAAAATTAAGAAAATGTTAAAAAGTATAGCCTTCTCACTGTTTTATTGTTACTTATGTATATAAGATAAGAAATGTGTAAAATGTATTAAATATACTTTCTTCACCTCGAAATTTAGGCTATAGGAACGTTCTTTTTTCTTAAATTTCATTGTGGTGTACAGGTTGCAGGTGTTTTATTTATTTTTGTTTGCTATGATCTTATGTTGGAGTTTGCCCCCTTTGATGAAAATCGTTGGTATGGGCTTGGAGTGCCTGTTGTGTGAATCTTTGCTTGAGTATTAAAGCAAAAAGATGAAAGCTCAGATGAGCTATTCTGATCACCTGGACAATGTCCGTCCGTTTTTAAACTTTGTAAGAACAACTTGGCCAATTTCAACCAAATTTGGTACAAAACAAGCTTGAATGAAGGGAAGTTAAATTGAAAAGATTAAATTTGTATGGAAGCATCCTGGGGGTAGTGTAGGTTCTAAATTGTACAAATCATGATCCATGTGGGTAGGGCGGGGCCACAATAAGGAATCCATTTTTACATAGAAATATATATATATATATATATATATATATATATATATATATATATATATATATATATATATATATATATATATATATATATATATATATATATATATATATATATATATAGGAAACACTTTTAAAATCTTCTTCTCAAGAATCACTGGGCGAGAAAAGGTGAAAGTTTTGTGGAAGCATCATGTAGTAGTGTAAATTCTTAATTGTTTAAATCATGACCCCTGGGGGGGGGGGGGGGGGGGGGGTATGGCGGAGCCACAATATAGATTCTATTTTTACATTGAAATATACCGGTATTGGAAAAATGTTAAAATCTTATCAAGTACCACTGGGCTGTTCAAAACTTAAGTGGAAGCATCCTGCGGTACTAGTGTAGATTCTAAATTGTTCAAATCGTGACCCCCGGGGTACGTCAAGGTCAAGATATGTATTACAAAGGGGGGGGGGGGGGGACTCTGTTAAATAACAGAATGAACAGTGTTACTCGGGTGAATGATGTGGGCCATGGGCCTTTTTTTTTTTAAATTGCTGGATCCGCCCCTGAATCTTTATTACTTCCAAAGTTCCTAAATTCCGTATAGTTTCCAAGAAATTCTGTACAGTAATCAATTTCAAAAACGGGTCTTCTTTGTTTTACTCTAATGGAAAATGCGCAAATATTCACCTTTTCAGCCAGGCCTGGCAGTGTAGTTAACGATTTCGGGTCGGGATCGGCCTTATATATTATAGATTATGAACTTATTTCCTTAGAGTAGAAGTAGAGATGACGATTAGGGCTAATGCAGCTTATTCAAAGTATTAAAAGTTAACGATGTCTTAACATTCAGACGTGAGTAATCAGAAGGTTATAGATTTGATTTATTATGTCCATAAATATTTTTATAATGGTACACGATATTTAATTAAGGCTGAGTCCGAGGTGACCATTAAGCACATGCTGATACCTAGGCCCGTGTCAGCTTGGTAAATGACATATAATAGATAACAAGTTGCTGTTAGACAACAAATACAAGTATAAATATTGTGAATTACCTTCTAGGCCTAGCTGGATACAAAATGTTAACTTGCACCATGTTTGCAGGACAGTACCGCTCAAAAGTAAACATCCATACAATTGTAACTTCCTAATATCGCAAGAATAATGAATCCATGCAGTGTACATGGAGTTTTCAAAGGTTTGCATTAAAAAATCAAACATTAAAAAAGTTCGATAAACAAATATTTTATTATTATTGTCACAATGGAATCATAGGAGCACCAAAGATGATTTTCCATGTCCATTAAATTTTTATATTCAAAATAAAAGATTAATATTAAGAGATCAACTTTTATCTCTCCCACTTATGCATCTCATTCTTCCCCTCTTTAGTGAAAGGAACCTTAACCTTAACATTTCTCTCCATGCCAGGAGGCACACAAGGCCTGTGGTGAATGTTTGTGTGTCACAAGGGATCTAGTCGGATGCTAGGCTTCCTGAAGGCTTTTACTGCTCTTCGTCTTACTGCCATTATTGGCTGTCTCTGCCTCACCCAATTTTCTTTGCTCTATATTGTCCATTAAATTGTTTCTGTAACTGTGGATTTTTTCCGGAAGGAGGTAGTCGGCCTCCTGCCCAACCCCCAAGCTTGGAGGATCAGTGGTTTTCTGTCAGGGTGTCCTTCCCTTATGCTGCGTTGGTCCACGGCACCTTCAGTCTATCCGGTGCACCCCTCACTTAGTGAGGGATCCCCTATCCGCCACCCGGGGCTCGTGCCTCCTAGCCGTGCAGCCCCAGCCGAAAGCTCATGAAAGAAAGCGGACATGAAATCTCATTTGTCTGTATTACAAAAACTTTAACTTTGGTCATGTCTTTTGAGTCAGAAGAGAGAGGGTTTTTCATAATGTGGGTCAAACTTTTGTTAAAAATAGATCACACTACAGGGTGTTGCAAAAAAATACTAAATAAGTATACCTGATTTTATATTTCTGGTATTTTTTCAGAGGTTAATTTTATCTCTTCATTTCCTATATAAAAACAAATTACAGATATAAAATATGTTACATAAAACCTATGTTTTACATCAATAACTGGTTGATGTATCAACATTATATCAAATTTTAGATTAATTTTATCCAATGCTTTGATGATGATGTCAACTCTTAATTAATTTAACTGAACTGATTTTATTTTGAATACTCAATTTCACTTCATTTGAATAAAAAAAAAAAATTTTTTTTAAACAAAGACTTTCTGATATAAACATTATTAAGTAATAAAGTGGGAGAAGGTGTTTTCTAGGGGGCGATGAAAAAAAATGTTACTTGATAAAAAATATCCAGCTTTGAGACCCAAACTCAAGCTGAAAAAATTGAGATCTCCAGTTGTGATTGTTCTGTAATGAATTCTGTCACATGTATGCAAGTTGTGACAAGACATTTCCAAAATTTCTAAGAATTTTTTATCCTGTGACCTTGAAGTTTGACCTATTTTTCATAAAATTTTAACAAAAATTACTTCAAATCGGTCACACATGTAACTTTGCCATATATATCCTAATGACATTACATGTAAATACTGGTGGAAATTCTACTGTAGTAATGTAACCCGGGCTTCTTTTGTGTTCACATGCAAATCATAACTTTTTCCATATTCAGTTATAGTTTCCTTGCCCAAGTGACAATACATGTAGATGAAAGAAGTAAATTACATTTAATATGCACATTAATATGTACATGATGTAGCTTGTACATGTAGTATATTTGCTGAAAAAATTTACATAATACTTTGTGTTTATTGTGACTGTTCAAATATTATTGCAAATGAAATTTATATTACAACACTTAACAAAACTAAGAGACAATATGTATTGATATATGTATCAAATAGCATAGGCCTTGACCATTTAAGATGGTAGGTGTTCTCAAAGACTCAAATCATCTGAGTAATTATGTACTTGATGGTTAAAGGTTATTTATCGATTATTAAAATGTAATCACAGACCTGTTTACTCTTACGATTTCACTGTATTTTGGACGGATTTTTAGTTTAAACTACGTCTCAGGTTTTGCTATCATTAAAATATGGAAATCAGAAGTACATGACGTCTGGAATTAAGCAGTTGATTTTGGTTATGATCTGTCTTAGTTTCAAGCTTTTTAATCGCTAAAAAGAGAAAGATTTCAAACGCGCAAGTGATGTCGGGTTGCAAAAACGCTGTGGTATTATAAAATGACAAAGACTATATCATCAAACTATGTTTTTTAAATCAGAAAAGCAGTTGTTTTCTATTATTAATATATGTAAAATCGATGGAAAGTGAAATCTTATGGGCAAATGTCAAATCTAACAGAAAAATCTAATCAAACATACTGAGAGACAATGATATGGGTAAACAGGTCTAAAACCTCTTAAATTTTAGAACACTTTGATAAACATGATAAGACATCTTTTTATTGTCTGATTGTAGTGAAAAGGTGCCATGGAATTCTCAGCCAACATCTGCAAAACAAATAAAAGTTATTTTCAATTCTTAAAATTAAATTTTACCCTTGATTTTAAGAGTCATATGAACATAAACATGAATTTTTTATGACTTAACCTGTATCCTGCAAAATCTTAACATGCAATGATTACTAAATTACTAACGATTTCTGACCACGATTCATTTGAAATTAAATTCCTTAATCTTGTGTCCGGTTAATGTTGAGATATTTTGCTTTTTACACATATTTTTTGTATGATGTCATTTAAATTGCTCCTTGATCTAAAATGTTGTTTGCTATATAAATAAATATTTTGATGATGAGGTTTTCATTTAGAGAATAAATCACAAATAACAAAGGATGCTTAACAGTGTCCATTCTAAACAAAATATAAAGATAGTAATTATGAGAACAATGCATTTTTAAAAATATTATTTCTATTAGTTCATTATAGAATATTCATTAGACAAGTTCTATCTTGTTTTTAAATGAACTTTAACAGCATCATGATAGCTGTAATATACTGGCATGGCCTCTACTTTTGCTTCCATCTGTTCTGTAATGTAAACATGATCTAACACTGAATTGCCGTCTGTTGTTGCAAAATTCACTTTTTGTTTAAAACCATTGGTTTCCAACATTCTTTGAATTGATCCTTTGTATTGTGCATCTTCGTTGAAATCGCCGAGTACAAGGCATCGAGAAAATGATTCTTTATAAAAATCTACAACTCTCTGCAGGGAGTCAAGGAACCAACTGACATTGAGAGAACTTGGTCGATATACTACGATGATAACCGTGTCCTCCTCACAAAGTTCTATGGCCATTCCTTCAATATTTTTCTGAGGTAAAACATGAACTAAAGCTTTTTCGTTTCCCTTCATATACACTCCTACCCCTCCTCCTTTGGACATGCGAAGTTTAGCAAAACTGTCTACACTTTCATCATATGACTGCTTCCTTGTAGTATGATTGAAGTGAAAGTCATCAATTTCAAAATTTTTTATTCTATCATTGTCTGTCAGCCATGTTTCATTGAGACATATTAGGTCTGCTTGGAGGAATCTTGCATCACTTTTCAGGTCAAGAAAATGTGCTCTTAAGCTCTGCACATTAAGTAAAACAACTGTTTTGAAGGTTCGGTCATCGTAGTAGTTCTGATGATCTTGTTCTGGGATTAATTTCTCCATCTTACACAGTGCTGACTTTATATCTGGATTAGCGTAAATTTTTCTCAGTAATGCATTTTCATTCTTTGTTTCTATGAATAAACCATTTTGTGAAGTGACACGGCTAATTGCAACATATGCCTGTCCTGGAGCGAAAGTACGATCTAAATTTACTACTACGCTATTTGTTGTCATGCCTTGAACTTTATGTGCTGTGCATGCCCATGCGAGTTTCAAGGGAAACTGATGTCGTACAACATTCTTTGTATTTTTCTCTTTGATGTCTTCTTGTATTCTTTGAATCAATACTTCATTTCCATGTGGCGTTCTTTTCCCATGAAGCTTTCCAATATCTTCACTATCAAACAAAATTCTAATCCCTTCTACCCTATTTCTTTGCTGAGCTTGTCCAAAATCAAATGCTGAAATATGTCCCATTGCACCATTCACCAGTCCGTCTTCTACATCAATATTTCTTGTCAGCATCACTCTAGCATTCACAGAAAACAGCAAAGATGCAGAGAGCCCATCTGTTCTTGTCCGTATGAAGGGTTTTTCACGTAAATTCAGCTTTCCTGTAGTGTTGTCTTTTTGATAATCCTCTGCAGATATCTCTATCAATTCTTCACAACTTGCTTGCAACATCTTTAGATTATACTCATTTGCTTCTTCATTTGTAGGATAAACATGCAGTACTTCATCTGGTCCATCTCTGATGCAGTCTTTTAACATTGTTTTCGCGTTTTCTGATACTGGTTCTTCTATCGTTCGAACCCGTAGTGAATTCAAAACTGCAGCAAATGCAGCATCATCACGTTGTCTCATTATTTCTTCCAACTCAACAATTTTGAAGAAGTCTAACCAGTAGTCTATGGGATATTCATCATTTTCTTTGTAAAGTATTTCCAACTTTCGTTGTTTCACAGGAGGTAGTTGGTAAAAATCGCCAACTGCTATAACAGAAATACCGCCAAAAGGTTCCTTGCATTTCTTGATTTGAACCAGTCGTTCATGAATGTAATACAAAAGTCGTTTGTAAACCATTGAGACTTCATCGATGACTAAAATCTGCAGAGAAGCTAACTTCACTCTCATTGCACTCAAACTCTGTTCTTTCAGGGGTTCATATGGAATAGGTAGAGCTTTGGTTAAAGAAAATACGTGGTGAATTGTATTGCCCCCAATATTGAAAGCAGCAGTTCCAGTAAAAGCTGTGAGAAGAACAGATAAATCTGAAGGAGATGAAACAATTTTCTCAAAAATTCGAGAGGCCTCATACTGTATGGTTTTTATCAAGTGACTTTTTCCTGTTCCTGCACCACCGGTAACAAAGATATGTAATGGGTCAACTTTCCTCTCAGTCACTTTTTTCAAGCACCATTTACGAACTATGTAGAAAACCTGTTTCTGTTTATCATTTAAACTTCGCAACAAAGGCAAAATTTCTTGGCTTGAGTTTGAACTTTCCCTAATATGGTATATCAAATCTGAAGCACCATCATGTTCAATTTCATGGGTGATTTCTTGTTCTTTGTTTTCTGATTGTTCTGTTTTCCTCTTTTCGTTTAGACATTCATCTCGATTTCTTTCAGTTTCTGGACAAAGGTTAGCCCAAGCATCTTCAGGTTCACCATAAACTTGTAGAGTTTCCTGGGCATTTTCAAGGGCAGCCTCATTCTTTGAGAAATTACAACGATTATTTTCAACCAGAATCCTGACAGACTGTAATTTGTTTCCAGTTCTTATTCTGACAAACCCGTTTTCGTAAAATGCCTGATAAAACTTGAATCCAGGTGGTTTCAATTGATCTTGGGTACAATATGGAAGAAAAAGCTGAAGTATTGACTGATAATACTTTTCTGATGCATTTTCAGGATTGAACCTTGGATATCTTACTATGGCTGGCTTAGCTCTTGTTCTTCTCTGAATATAACCATTTCCATTTTTCAATTCATAAACGCCTTCTTTTACTCCCTTGGGAATTTCAGATTTTGCCAAAACACGAAACTCTGAGCAAAATTCTGCAAGGCACATTTCAGGAAAAGGATGTAGATCAGGACGATTTTCATATCTCTCCACTATATTTGTCATCCAAATACTGTCATCATCATCTTCCATATCGTCTTCGTTCTTACATGTCCTTTTCATTTGTGAAAGAGGTTTACTCAATCGAGTCGGATTTTCACCAACTGGAACAAACACCACTTTTCTTGATCCTTCTTTCATTTTTAGATTACAAACTCTGTACACTGCCTCTTGGGCACTCACTTCTCTATGATTAAGATAAGCTGATCCAATTCTTTTTATTGTTTGACGAGCACTTAAATTTCCCTCTGCAGATTCTACTTGAGTTTGTTTTAACAGCATTCCCATTTCCCGTTCTGACTTTGATATGTATGAAATTATGTAAACAATACAGCTAAATGGGTCTAGGATGTACTGTATGTCCATATTGGCATCCCAACATCTGAGAAGGCAAGTGTTGTATTGGTTTGTCCACATTTCATCTGGATTTCGTTTCAAGATAGTACTTGTTTTTGCAGATAATACCCTGTGTGCCATTTCGTAAGTATCCTGTGATAAATGCACCTTAGAAAAGATTTCCTCTGCAGTTTTGCCTTCATTCACATCATCAAGAACTTCATTCCAAACATGCAACAAAATTTCTTTGGCCTGAGATTTACTCAATCCGTCGAATGTTTTGGAGTCCTCCTCATTCTCCTCACATGGTCTTGTAATAAATGTTCTTTCTGAAGGTGGTCTTGGAAAGTGGAATCTGCAGTCTGTTCCCTTTTTCCTACAGGATTTTGAATGGTTCTTACTATGTTGTTGAACACCTAAAACAATTTGTCGCAGCTCTTGGTCATCAATTTCAGAAGGTAAAGCGCATGTGATATATTTATCAATAAAATCACAGACAGTTTTATCATCATCTTCCTCAAATTTCGGTGCATTCTCAACCCAGTACAAGCAGTGCATGTGTGGAGAGCCCCTTTGTTGAAATTCTACTCTCACAAAAAAATCAATAACATTTCCTATAGGTTTTGAAGGTGACAATATAACATGTCTTTGAAACATATGAAATCTATGTTCAAACATTCTGGCAACAGTAACTGGATTGCTTCTCAAAATTTCACTCTTTTCCGACCAGTCTAAATCAGAAGGGGATCTAGAATCATTTTCTTGCAGTAAAATTGATCCAATTATTTCACTCCATCTGTATTCAGCTGCAGAAAACGAACAAAACCATGTTGGGATACCTAACTGTCGAAGCATAGCAAATAGATCTTTCTGAGAAGCCGACCAATATGCAGGTGTTCCTCGAATAGGTTGCATAAATCGTAAAGCCTCATCATTCCTTAAGAGTTTTGAAAGAACATCAGGATTCTGTAACATTTCAGATGTTACCGCATTTCCACTATCAAGCTTTGATAAAGACTTTCGAATTGAAATTTGTGTTTTCTCTATTACTTGATTCAATTCTGACATGTATTGAGAGAAGAAGATGTAATTTGTGTCCTTAGCAAATCTGTTATCAGCATTCATAAGTCTGTTGTTAAAATATCTTGAAAGGGTTATTTTCACATCTCGATCTTCATTCAAAGAAAAGTTGCCACTTGGAAATAAATGTGGAAATGATTTTGCTTCGTTTCCTTCTTCTTGCAACATTCGGACTGGATTTTTCCCTTCACCAGGTGCAATATTGTAAACATCATCAAAGTAATGATCAAGAACTTCTTGTCCCACATCTACTGGCTGTAAACATGTGTCAGTTACAACTGGATTTTCATCTCTCTCATCTTCTTTCACTTCTTCATCTACATATTCACTAGTCTCATTAAATAGCAAATCATTTTGGTCACTATTTCCTTCCCACAAGGTATTTATCACTACATCTTTATACCATTTGTTTTCTTTCCTTAAATAATCAAGAGCCATGTTGACATGAGTTGGATTAACAAATTGGTATTCGAAATAGCCTTTGTACGCTAGCTTTCGTTTTAGCTTAACTCTTACCAATAAATTGTCATCCCCATTTCTTGGTAAAGATGTGGCCTTTTCCATATTTGATGGCACACAAACAACAGGCCCATGTACATTCCTTTGACCACCTTGTGGAAGAGCCATCACTTTCATAAAGGGAATATGCAAAGCGATTAAATGCCGCTCCAAACTGTTTAAACTGCTAAGCTCATATGGAATTTCCTCTAATGACATTTTATTAACAGCTGCCTCTGCTGGAATATTCCCACTCAGTATTTTCCTATGACAAGTAAAGCATATCCACAATGATGACTTGGAGCAATGCACTGGACAAGATGCTGTACAATCATGGGAGCATTTTTTCTGTATACAAATCTGTGCAATTTTATAAGCTTCATGTCTTTTCTCATACATTTCAAGTGTGCATCGTTGGACTTGATGTTCAAACAGTAAACGATGACAACAGCAACATATGTAGTCTGGGCCATCTCTCACACTTTCCTTAAAGAATTTCACAACTTCTTCTTCATCTTCCAACTTTACTTTTAGTGCTCGTCTCTGATTCAAAACATTCTCCTTCTTCTTCTTTTTCTCAGCAGCACTAAAGTGATACTTTACTTTATTAACAGCCTTAACCTTTTGTCTATGTTCTTCATCATTCTTGTACTTATGAATACTTCTTTGTTTAACATTCAGTCTGTGTGCTTCATCATTTTTGTACTTCTCTATACTCTTTTCTAGATAATTCTTTCTGTGTACTTTATCATTCCAGTACTTTTCTTTACTTCTTTGTTTAACACCCTCTCTATGTACTATATCTGACCTATATTTCTCAATACTTCTTCTCTTCCTGTACTGTTTATGGATACCATCTGTTGTATATTTTCTTTTACTAGCTTCCAAGCTCCTTTGCTTTGCCTTTGCTTTGAAAATTCCATCACTTTTATATCTTTCCTTTAATCTAAATTGAAGGTCAGTCTTGTACTTCAGTTTTGCAGCTCTTAATTTCCTTTCTGTGTAATTTTCTTTCTTTAGTTTCTTTTCATGATTTGTACTTAATTTTTTGGCAGATGAAAAGATACGCATTTCCCTCATGCGATTTCGATTTCTACGTCTTTCTCTGTATTCTTTCTTGCCAACATACAGAGCATTATTTTCCTTGGAACTAACCGTTTCTTTCTCTGTAACTGACACCACTACATTATAATGATTCCGGTCCTGATGAACTAAATAAAATGATCCTGTGCTTTGAACATTCATAGGTTCTACCTGTTTTCCTGAGAATGTAACCCAGTGATTTTCTGTATATGTATGTATATCAGTGCTCAAGAGGTGAGAGAGAGCAAGAATTTCCATTTCGGTTGCCCATGTACCATCGTTTGACATACCTGTTAAATTCAAGTGATTTTCAACAGAATTTTCTGTAGATCTTACAAAAGTTTCAAACAATATTCTATTTTGTAGTAGATGTTTACACACTGCTGATCGTATTGCATAATGATAATCCTCTACTCCAATCAAACAAAATGAAATGGCCCTGAAAAAACAATTTCCATCCCCTTCAATTTCAACATACTCACTAGGTGCACCAGCTTCTTGCACAAAGCAATCCTGTTCAACATTACTATTTGTATCTGACTGTGGTATTCCCAGGACCTGACAAAGCTGTAATTTCACAGTGTTAGAAAGTGGCAGAAAACTTATACTATGACTTTCACTGCAAATGAGTTGAACATCATCGTCAACTGATTGAAAACCATAAGCATCTGACTGAACATTTGCAGTCAAAAGGTCTCTGTTTTCTTGAACTGCTAAATTCAAGCCTTTATTTTGCTGAGTACATTTTCCTGGCTCAATTTCATGTTTATCAGTTATTGCAAACTGGCAAACTGAACAATCAACACCTGTTATTTCACATTCAGTAATTCCAGAAATTCCCATTGACACTGCCAAGGACAATATGTGATTGTAAATATCATCAACCGATTGATACAGTATCCTTGTACTCCTTCCAGTTACACTCATACACCCCGATTGTGACCGTGAATGTGGGTCAAATGTAAAGAAGCCATCCTCTGTTTTTCCAATCAAAAAAGTATTTCCCTTGAAGCATACAAAACACCCACTTGTTTCTCCAAGACCAATTTGCAATGCATCTGTCAGTGAATATGCATTAAATTCATCATAGTTTGGTTCTACATCTGACAAATTTATTAGGCTGCATAAAGATTTGCATGCTTTGAACTCAAACATTGTATTAAAACACTCAAAAAATTGAGGCAACTCATTCACAAAAAGATACCTACTGACAATGGTTGAACTACGCTGCAAGTATGTATAAAGCTCATCTCCTGTTGCTAACACTTTATTTATATCTGAAGTTTGCCACTGATTAGAATTCTTTACTTTATGGTATGCTAATGCTGCTAATGAGTTCGCAACACATTGTGTTCCTGCATTTTCACCAAACATTAAGTCACCTTGATGAAAAGACCCTTGAATAGATACCTTGTTCAATGTTACTGGTCCATCTTTACTTACACAAGTATAATCACCACCAAGTTCACCAGTACACAGTCTTCTAATTCTGCACTCTGATTTATTTCTCTCATATACACTATCTATATTCTCATTTTCATCATGTAAATTCCTTTTAGTATTCCTTTTAGATATCGTTCTTTTAATCTGGTTTGCATCAATCAATATCCTGCTGGACTCATCCCCCTGAGAGGATGACATATCCAGCTGCGCCTGACCTGCTGAGCCAGACACGTGCACGGTGTCCGGCTCAGGTACCCTCGCTGGAGTACAAACCCACGGTGGGGAGTCAGGGGACGGTGCCATGCCTCCGTTTCGGGCACACAGACGACTTCCCTGAGAAGATGCGTTACTCAGGGCAGTTGGTTGCATTTTCTCGCGAAGAGAGGCCTGCAACCTGGCCAAGGGTTTTTCCTCAAAAGGCGGCAACCCTATAGAGCCTTGCCCCGGAAAATTACCGGGTGGAGCTGAGATAGCTCCATCTACTGCTCCAGCTGGGACAGCAGAATCTGGAGGAGGATCTGATGGTGGCAAGGACTGCTCCTGCCTCTTTTCCCTCTTGCGGTCTCTATCTCTCTGGCGTTTTTCCCTGCCATTCAAGGTCTTTCTCTTTGGCATCTAAAAAATAAAACATTTTTCCCATATATCAAAACAAGATATTCATGTTAAATTAGAATAAGGATACCAAATAAAAAATTTAATCACCTTGCACTCCATAACAATGTCTTTTATGTTCTACACTTTAAGCTATGGCTATTAACAGGATATACATGTGTACAAAATTTGGATTATTCAAAATTTAGTGCAATCTATGGAGATACACTTGTTGGCTTAATCATGAATTAGCGCTACACATGTCTATGATGAATATCTGTATATTGTATTTGTAAATGATTTCTTTAGCCAAAGCTGCTTAAAATTGAAGCACTCTTTTTAAGTACACATACACTACCCCTTTTAGGCCTAAAATAAAAATTTGTTTGGTTGCAGTTGCTTCTGACCCAGTGAAAATGCACTGACACTAACTTTCTTAATAATTAATTTAATAATTTTTTCAGGAAAATGGAATTGTGTCATTTACAATTTTTGACTTTTGTTTTTATCAATCAGTGGTTTATAACAAGAGTGGAGCTTATTTATGTTAAGTAGGCCTATGAAAAGGTCTTTTATTTGTTATCTAACAAACATAGGTAATCAGAGATTACAGAGCTCACCTCAATGAATGTTGTCTTTAAGTAAGGCAAAGTCACACAATTAACCAACAAAAAGTATACATTCCAAAAATGAAAATATTTTTAAAAGCAATTTTGATCTGATACTTTGAAATAGACCTACATAAAAAATTTAAACTACTTCTTCATGAAAATGTAATGAAAATCCAGCATCTGAAGCAAACTTGAGAGTTTTCATCTCTTGATGCAGCATTTGTGCAAGTTTAGTTTATACAATGTTATATAAGCGATATGGTTTTTGGTAATAGACCTGCAACCATAACTTTTACCTTGTCTACTATCTGAATGTAGATATATCATCCATGCAAGTTTGGTCAACATAGGGCTTATAGTTACTTGGAAATGAAACCCTCACCAAAAACTTTAACCTGTTCACTCAACCAGAAAATGTAGGTCAGATTCAGCATCCGAAGCAAGCCCGGTAGTATGCATCCTTAGATGTATCATCCATGCAAGTTTGGTCAACATAGGGCTTATAGTTACTTGGAAATGAAACCTACACCAAAAACTTTAACCTGGTCACTCAACCGGAAAATGTAGGTCAGATTCAGCATCCGAAGCAAGCCCGGTAGTATGCATCCTTAGATGTATCATCCATGCAAGTTTGGTCAACATAGGGCTTATAGTTACTTGGAAATGAAACCCACACCAAAAACTGCACCAAAAATGTTAACCTGCTCCAAAAACATTAACTTGGTAAATCCTTTGCTGAAATTGCAGCATCTGAAACTTTGTCTGGTACAATAAAACACACAAAAACCATCTTCCATGCATGTCTAATCAGTATAGGACACAGAAGTAATTAAAAAGAAAACTGCTCCAAAAAACTTAACCTGGGACGCCGACGCCGAGGGTATCACATAAGCTCCCCCCAACTTCGTTGAGGTGAGCTAAAAATCCTTAAGCAATTTTTTTATTTTTAAAAAAAAAAAAGAAGAAAAGAATGCATACCTACCTACCTAACCAGTCTAAAAATTATAAGTCGGCAACTGCAAACAAAGAATTTTTTAAGCTTGGCCTTATCGATAACTTTACCATTAAACTTTAATCACAGTTCTAACACAGCTTTGCATTGTTTACAATTGTAATGTCTTTACAACAGTACAAGGTATAACTAGAACAGATCTTAAGAATCAAATTTAAAGAATTGTGATCACCCACTTTCTTGGTCAGTTGAATGTTGTGATGCAATTAATAGTGGGTTGTTTTCTTGTCTGTATGCCATGTCTTGTTCTAACATTAAAAAAAGGATCTTTTTTTTAATTAATAACAGTAATGACCATTTTTTTTTTGTAAATGATCAAGAGGCCCAAGGGCCTTGAATCGCTCTTCTGATAAATTATACAATCTATTCTAAGACCTAAGATACAACAACTGACAAAGTTTGATTATTCTTAGCCAGTTAGGGCTGAAGATATTTAAATGTAACTATAAAATACTCTAAGTAGGTCATACTTTTTGATTGAAATTTTCTTAGAACACAAGATGCATTAATTGACAAAGATTGATGATTCTAAGCCAATATGTACTTGAGATATTCAAAAGTGGGTCACAGTGACCTACATATTGGTCAAAATTCTCCAAAAACCCAAGGTGCATCAACTGACAAAGTTTGACATTTCTAAGCCAATAATACCCTAGAATACTTAAATATAGCCATAAAATGGGTCATAGTGACCTATTTTTTGGTCGACATTTTCCGAAAACCCAAGATGCATCTACTAACAATGTTTGATGATTCTAAGTCAATCAGTACTTGAGATATTCAAAAGTAGGTCACCGTGACCTACTTTTTGGTTGACATTCTCCGAAAACCCAAGATGAATCTACTGACAAAGTTTGATGATTCTAAGCCAATAAGTACCTCAGATACTTAAATATAGCCATAAAATGTCAAAAATAGGTCACCGTGACCTACTTTTTGGTCGTTAATCTCCACAAACCCAAGATGCCTCAACTCAAAAATTTTGATGATTCTAAGCCAATAAGTACTTGAGATACTTAAATCTAGCCATAAAATGTTGAAAGTAGGTCATAGTGACCTACTTTTAGGTCGACATTTTCTGAAGACCAAAGATGCATCAACTGACAAAATTTGATGATTATAGGTCTAATAGTATTCAAAATATGCCTTTTAAACAATTTGAAAACAAAATGCCAGCAAAGTTTAAAAAGTAGGTCACAGTGACCTACTTTTTAATAAATATGTTTTAAGGCCCCAAGATTCATCAACTTACAAGATTTGGTGATTCTAAACCTCTCAGTGTCTGAAATTATGGGATTAAATGTTTTAGAAAAGATTAGCCATCAAATTCAAAAAGTAGGTCATGATGACCAACTTTTAAGTTGATGTTGTTTGTGGACCCAAGATGCACCAATTGACAAACTTTCATGATCATAGGCCTTAAAGTGTCCAAAATATGCCTCCAAATCAATTTGAAAACAAAAGCCCATTAAATTTAAAAAGTAGGTCACCGTGACCTACTTTTGAGTTAACATGATGTGAAGTCCTAAGATGCATCAACTTACAAGATTTGATGATCCTAGTCCTTATAGTAAGCAAAATATAAACATTTTTATTAATTGTAAATTTAGGTCAACTTTAAAGTGACCTTGAGACCACGCCCTTTGCCCCAGGGTCATGCCTTGAACAATTTTTAATCTTCAACATATCCCAACCCTTGTATGTAAGTTTGGTAAAATCTGCCTGGTGGTTCTGGAGAAGAAGATATTTTAGCAACTAGTACTTTTGGTTTTATTTTTGTGATTATCTCCCCTTGTTTAAGGGTCCCATCCCTAGTTTTAGTATAAATGGTAGCCCTTGGGCCAAGGATACCCTGTGAGAAATTTGACAATAATTGGCTATTAAAGGGGTTCTTGAGTTATGGCCAATATTCTAAAAAGTTAATGCACACCGCACGACGCACACTGCACAAATGGCCATAGCATTAGCTCTTTGAGCCTTTGCCTCAGAAGAGCTAATAAAGCAGAATTAAACTTTAATTTTAAGGTCAAGTGATGAGTAATGTGCCTGTAAAATATGACTCCCATATCTTTTCTCATGTAAAAGTTATGACCATTGTCTGTATGGTGATTGGTGCAGTGGTTAAATGCATCTACTCTAGTATTAACCAAGATCCAGTGATGGGAAGGTCACAAGGTTAAAAACTGTAAGAAATATCTCTGCTCTACTGTGAATATACAGTCTGAAATCAGATATGTATCTAAACAAGTTCTGTTGAGGATAGACACAGCGTTGGTTTGTTGATCAAGGCCAATAAGTAACGTTGACTTACTTGTAAGTGAACATGATATGAGGTCTCAATTAGTTGCTTCAGTTGACAATATTTGATTAATAAACCTAGTCCTTCATAGTCAGCAAATTATCAATCTTTAACACAACATCCAATTTCCAATTTGCTTTATTAATTAGACATCAAACAAGAGACCCATAGGCCACATTGCTCACCTGAACACATTGCTTGGGAAAAAAAGCAGAAATCTCTTCAGTATTTTAAAGTTTTCAATGGGGAGGTGGGACTTGAATATTAAATTATTCTTCCTTATCAATATAGCAAATATCTTTGCTGTTCTTGTGCATATTTTTTTATTCATTAGCAAAAAATGGATCCCCCATTGTGGCTCATCCACGCCCCTGGTGACCTTAATTTGCATCAATTTTATTTTAAACTACCTAGGGATGCCTCCAAATCAAAATAATTAAGCATGGCTTTTCTGTTCTTGAGAAAAAGATTTTTTTCCTTGATATATTTATGTAAAACTTTGATCCCCCATTATCATGATTATGGCCCCAACCTTGAAGAGAAGATTTATAATATTTTTCTATATATCTCTATATTAAACTTTGACCCCCCCATTGTGGCTCTAGCACTCCTAAAGATCACGATTTAAAAAAAAAAACATTTCAAAATTCACTACTTGAGGATGTTTCTATATACATTTTACACATGACTAATCACAAGGTCACTAGATGAAACCCTCACCTCTCACTTGAATATAATGGCTGTGTCCATTTTTTGCTATGGTAAACTAAAAATATGTCGGATGAAAATCAAACAAGCTAATTCAGAGAATTCATGTCCCCCGCTTAGGGAAAAAGTCGGATCCCCCGACTGAATTTGTAGAATTATTAAATGTATACATGTATACTGAAGGAAATAAAATACATGTATGTCAATATGCACATAAAGATTTGATTGCTTATTCTTTATTATGTGTATAGAAGATTCTTTTTATATGGAATATTTATCACACTGTAATGATGATTTTATGAGTTTCTACAAGCCAGACCTCATAAATTTTTCATTTGACATGCTTAATACTATCATTTAGTTAAAAAAAAAGTATTTCGAAAAAAAAGAATAT